TCAAGAATTAGACACTTTAAACAGACCAATAACAAGCAACAAGATTAAAATGGTAATTTAAAAATTGCCAACTAAAAAAAAAGTCCAGGACAAGATGAATTTACAACAGAATACTACCAGACATTCAAAAAAGAATTGGTACCAATTCTGTTGACACTATTCCACAAGATATAGAAAGAGGGAACCCTCCCTAATTCTTTCTATGAATCCAGCATTATAATAATACCAAAACCAGATAAAGATATGACAAAAAAAGAAAACTACAGATCAATATCCCTGATGAACATAGAAGCTAAAATCTGTAACAAAATACTAGCTAAACAAATCCAACAACATATCCAAAAGATAATCCACCATGATCAAGTGGGTTTCATATCAGAGATGCAGGAATGATTTAACATACGCAAGTCAATAAATGTGATAAACATAAACAGAATTAAAAACAAAAATCATATGATCATCTCAATAGATGCAGAAAAAGCATTTAACAAAATTCAGCATTCTTTATTATTAAAATTCTCAGCAAAATCGACATACAAGGGACATGCCTCAATGATAAACCCACAGCCAACATAATACTGAATGGGAAAAATTTGAAAGCATTCCTGCTGAGAAATGAAACAAGACAAGTATGCCTACTGTCACCACTCCTCTTCAACATAGTACAATAAATCTTCGCCAGAGCAATCAGAGAAGTGAAAGAAATAAAAGGCATCCAAATCGATAAAGAGGAAGTTCAAACTGTCACTGTTCACTGATGATGTGATTGTTTACCTCTAAAACCCTAAAGACTCCTCCAGAAAGTTCCTAAAACTGATAAAAGAATTCAGCAGGCCAGGCACGGTGGCTCACGGTGGCTCAGGCTTGTAATCACAGCACTTTGGAAAACCAATGTGGGTGGATCACCTGAGGTCAGGAGTTTGAGAAACAGCATGGCCAATGTGATAAAACGCTGTCTCTACTAAAAATACAAAAATTAGCCAGGCCTGGTGGTGGGCTTCTGTAATCCCAGCTATTCAGGAGGCTGAGGCAGGAGAATTGCTTGAACCCCAGGAGGTGGAGGTTGCAGTGAGCTGAGATAGTGCCGTTACAGTACAGCCTGAGCAACAACAAGGGTGAAACTCTGACTAAAAAAAAAAGAATTTACCAAAGGTTCTAGATACAAGATTAATGTACACAGGTCATAGCTCTCTCTACACCAACAGCAACCAAGCAGAGAATCAAATCAAGAACCCAACCCCTTTTATAATAGCTGCAAAAAAAAAAAAGATAAAATGCTTAGGAATATACCTAATCAAGGAGGTAAAAGATCTCTACAAAGAAAACTACAAAACACAGCTGAAAGAAACAAATGAAAGAAACAAACAAATGAAAACACATCCCATGTTCACAGATGGTTAGAATCACTATTGCAAAAATGACCATACTGCCCAAAGCAACCTAGAAATTCAACAAAATCCCCATCAAAATACCACCATAATTCTTCACAGAGTTAGAAAAAAAAATTCTAAAGTTCATATGGAACTAAAAAAGAGCCCACATAGCCAAAGCAAGAATAAGCAAAAAAAAAAAAAAATTCAGGAGGCATCACACTACCTGATTTCAAACTATACTGTACTATCACCATTGAAGAACTTACTCATGTAACCAAACACCACCTGTACTCCAATAAACTATGGAAAAATAAAAAATAAAAAATAAAAGAAAATATAGTATTGATAAAAAAAGAAAAAATATTCTTTTGAAAGTATTTATTTTTTATTTTATTTATTTTATTTTTGGGTAAAACCATATTGCCTTTATTTGGCTAAATTATAAAATCCAAAGTAACTCAGAACAAATTAATAACAGACAGGAAAATTATGTGAGCCTGTGGGCTCACATTGGTGACAGGCAAATGAGGCTAGTAGTTCCTTCCAAGATTCTTTTGGGTCCTCAATACAAAACAACCCAACTAATCCAGGATATGTGTTCAAAACAGTCAGTTTCCCCTATCAAAAGGCAGGAGGGTCCACTTCAAACCTACAGGAACACAACCCAAGTTAAACTTGCTTCTGTTTTCTGCCTCAGTTTGAGTACTAACATAAAACTTTGGCAGACAAAGTTCTTTCTTCTTCAAGAAAATTTATATTAAATGATATAATCCCAATAACATGTTCTACTTATTTATTTGGAAAAATAGAAGCTAGGGTCCACGATTTATCCCATGACAATCTATACTATGAGAGAAAACAAGAACAATCATTGTTATGACTTTTAAAAATATAACCTTTAAAAATACTTATATTGGTAAGCTTAAAAAAATATCATTAGTTAAAAACACTGTTCAGGGAGCTTTCTTTTTCTACCTGTATTGGTTCAACTTCTGGTGAGAGTGTGTGCTGATTGAAAATCTAGAATCTATGGCTTTTAGAAAATTAAAGAAAGCAGCAAAATAGAATTGATTTGGAAAGATTTTTGAGAAGTGATCTGGACCAGGATTAAAATGGCAATGAACTCTTGAAAATAAGCTATCCATAGTCAAGATAATCCAGGAAGGAAGAGCAAAGCCCTCTGAACCACTGCGGAAAGAGTATCTAGAGAAGTTTATACACCGAACTGAACTATATTATTGGTGCAGTTAATTAGAAATCAAGCGGCAACAGGAGGCCTAAGGTAAAGACCATCCGAGAGCACAGTAACATTGGGGAACACCTCGGGGTGGTTACAGAGCAGACAATACTCCTCTGGTCCCACAAATGCTTTCTCAATATGGAGACTGCATGAGGGCCTTGAAAAGAGGGCTTATGCACCGATCTCTGAGAAGGAAGGTGACCTCTGCTCACAAGATCCATTAATTGCTCTATATCCTCAATGCTCTGGAGCTAAAAGCCCCTTGATGCATTGGGTGTGGTCGGATCCTGTGGCTCCTCATCCGCTATACTTCTGATGCAGCTGCACCCGCACCCCAATAACAATCAGTGATAAACTCACAGCACTAGTTTAGCATGTCCTAGAAGGATCTCAAGTGCTCTCCACCCGGCTATCTTACCTACGGCTTCACCCTCCCCTTCCATGCCCATAAGATCAAGGAGATTATGCACATAATAAAAATGTTTAGAGCCCAGAGCTCAGAACCAATGTGTTTCCCACGCTTCCGCTGGTCCCCTAGACCCATGCTATAACTTCTATTCTTGTGTCTCTGTCTTTATTTCCTTTTCTCAATCCCTCATCACCTCCAGGACTAAGGGCACCCATGTACTAGGTTGGGCTGGTTACCCAACATCCCATCTTGCCTCAACTTCTTCAGTTTAGGTCCAGTTTAGTTTAGTACTTTTGTTATGGTAATGAGACGGTTCTAAAATTGGTGTGGTATTTTTTGTACAACTCTGAATATACTAAAATAAATTAAATAGTACACATTAAATGGGTGAATTGTATGACATATGAAATATGTTTTAATAATGCCACTATTTAAAAACTTCTGTAGAGAATTAACAGCAGATTAGAGACTATGCAAGAAAGATTTAATGAACTTGTAGACAGATCAGTAGAAATTATCTAGAAATAGTAGATATTTTGGCACATGAAAGACTTCTTCTTTATATTTTTGAAATATTTTAAGCCAAAAACATTGTAGTATAAGGACTGTTACATATGAAGATTTAAAATATATGACAAAATAAAAATGTTGGGAATAAATTGAATTTTATTGTTTCAAAGCTTTCATATTTCAAATAAAGTTATTTAATACTAACTCTAAACAGATAGAAATTTGAGGATTCACTTTATAATCTTTAGAGCAGCCACTAAAAAGCTTGTATTTTTAACACTCACAAAATATTTAAAATGTAAGACTGAAAACTATTCAACAAACTCAAAAGAAGCACTAAAAGAAAAACATGGACACCAAAAATAGAGCTAGAAGACAAAGAATAAGATCATAGACTTAAACCAACCTGTAACAATAATCCCACAAATATGCTAACAACTCCAAGGAAATAGTATCGAAGTAAAATAAAAGACCTATATTATAGACAACTATTTGTCATCTCTAAGAATATACTTTAAACATAAAAAATATGGGAAAGTTGAAAGTATAAGAAAAGAGAAAATATCATGCAAAGACTAACAATTGTAAGGAAGCTGAAATGACTGTTGCAATATCAAGCAAAGTAAACTTCAGAATAAGGAACGTTTCTAGGAATAAAGAGCCACATTCCACAGTACTAAAAGGGTCAATTTATCAAGTTGGCAAAACCATCCTAAAGTGTATGAACTTATTAACAGTGCTTTAAAATATATTAAGCAATAATTGATAGAACTAAATGGAGAAACAAACAAATCCACTTTTGTAATTAGAGTATTTTACTACTCTCTCTGAGTATTGACAGGGCAAATAATAAATCAGTATGGATTTGGAAGACCTCAACAATAATATTCCCAAATCTGCTTTAGTTGACTTTACAAAGTAATTCACCTGAAAACTTAAGAATATGCATTCTTTTCTAGGAGACAGGGAATGTTCATCAAAGTTAATTAAATAAGATACTGTATTAGTCCATTCTTATCCTGTTACAAAGAACTGCCTGCGACTGGGTGACTTATAAAAGAAAGAGGTTTAATTGACTCACAGTTCTGCAGGGTGGAGGAGGCCTCAGGAAACTTACAATCATGGCATAAAGGAAAGGAAACATGCCCTTCTTTACATGGTGGCAGAAAGAAGAAGTGCCGAGCAAAGGAGAAAAGCTCCTTATAAAACCATCGGATCTCCTGATAACTCACTCACTATCATGAGAAAACATGAGAGTAACTGCTCCCATGATTTAATTGTCTCCCACCAGTTTCTTTCTACAATATGTGGAGATTATGGGGACTACAATTCAAGATAAGATTTGAGTGGGCACACAGCCAAACCATATTAGATGCCATAAATCAAATCTTAATTTTAGAAGATTGAAATTGTAGGGAGTATGATCTCTAAAATTACAATATTAATTTGGCAATAAATAATGATACAACTCTGAGAATACTCCAGATATTTGGACATTATAGCAGTAGACTTGTAAATATATAAGTCATGTAGAAAGCCATAAGGAAAATTAGGAACTATATTGAGTGAAAATTTAAAGGTTCCATGTTAAAATTTGTGGAATACAGATAAATCAAAGTTTAGGGAGGAAAAAAAGTATACCTTTAAATGCCTATAAAGAAGATTAATTTCAAATCTACTTAAGTTTCCACCTTAAGAAACTGGCAAAATAAGAGCAAATTAAACAAAGTATAGGAGAAAAAGACAATAATGAAAAGATATAATGAACTAAAAATCAGTAAGAGAAAAAAATGACATCCAAAGCTTGGTTATTTAAAACACTAATAAAATTAATAAGCTTTAGCAAGATTTATCAATAAAGGGTGAAAAATATAAATTATCAATATAAAGAATGAAATAAATATGACCCCATATTGTATAGTACCATATTGTACAATAAATTAATGTAATATTAAGAAAATATTTTAATAAATTAAATAACTTGGATTAAGTGGGTACTTTTCTTAGAAAATACAATTTACCAACGTTGACACAAGATCAAAATACACTAAGAATAATATGATACCAATTGTATTAGTTCATGTTCACACTGCTGATAAGTACATACCTGAGACTGGGCACTTCACAAAAGAAAAAGATTTAATGGACTTACAGTTCCACATGCATAGGAGGCCCTCACAATCATGGCAGAAGGTGAAAGGCATATCTCACATGGCAGCAGACAAGAGAAGAGAGATTGCGGGGGAAATCCCCCTTATAGAATCATCAGATCTCATCGATAGTGAGAAACAAACTCACTATCATGAGAACAGAATGTGAAAGATCTGCCCCCATGATTCAGTTACCTCCCACTAGGTGCCTCCTACAAAACATAGGAATTCAAGATGAGATGTGGGTGGGGACAGAGCCAAATCGTATCACCAATTAAATACATTTTATTTGAAATAAAAGTTTCCCACAAAACAAATTGCATTTCCAGAGATTTTCACTTATGAATTTTATCAAACATTCATGTAAGAAATACAACTAATCTTAAACATTTTCAGCAATAGAGAAGGAGGTAACACTGGTCCTCTCATATTATAAAGTCAGTGTAATCCTGATACCAAAACCTGACAACAAATATAGTACCAAAAAAAAAAAAATTTAAAGATAAATATTCTTCATGAACAGTGATGCAAATATTCTTAATAGAATATTAGTAAACCAAATCCATCAAAATGTAAGAAGGATGGTTTAAAAAAGTGGGTTTTATATTAGGAATACAATAATGATTTTATATTTGAAAATCAATAATTTTATTCATCACATTAATAAGAGTAACATCAGATGATTATCTCATAAAATAGAGATGTATTTGTTAGAATTTAGCTTACAATTATGATAAAATCTCTCAGAAAACTTAGGAATAGAAGAAACTTATTTAATGTAATAAAGTGTCATCATGAAAACAGAGCTACTATCATACTTAATTCTAAAAGACTCAATGAATGCTCTCCTAGAAACAGGAAAAACACAGAGATTTCTCCTCTAGTAAGTTTTGTTGAATGTTTCATTGGCAATCCTAGAACGTGCCATTATACAAAACCCTAATACACCTAATGAGTGAATTTGTAAGAAAGAAAGATAACAGGTCAATACACAAATATCTGTTGCATTATACAGTTTCTAGTCTAATTTGAAAATGAAATTTTAAACTTCAATAAATAATAGACTAAAAATGGAAATATTTAGAAATAAACTTAGCAAAATTATGTGAGAGCTTCACATTGAAAACTACAAAGTATTGTTGAGGTAAAAATTAGAGAGATATTCCAGGTTCATGATTTGGAAATTCATCTTTATTAAAATATTCTCCTGAAATTATCCTATAGATTAAAGACATTATCAATTATTGTCCTAACAAGTTATTTTTAAGGGGTCAGAATTGCCAAAACAATCCTATAATTTGTATTAAAATTTAAAAGCTCTAGAAAATTCAGAATGTATTTTTTTCTAAAGAAAAAGAAAAAAGTTGGAAGATTTATATTAACTGATTTTGGACCTTAGTATAGAGCTGGCATAATCAAGAAAATGTGATATTTATGTAAGATTTGAAAATGGATTTAAAAATAATAGAGATAACAATAATAAGCCTTCACATATGTAGCCAACATTTTTGACAAAGATATTATGATGATTAAATGGGCGTGGGACAGTTGGGAAGAAAATCCTGTCAATAAATAGTGTTGGAACAATAGGATAAACATATTAAAAAAACAACATGGGCCCATTATCGGGCTCTATAATGTGTTGAATAGTGTACCTCTCAAATTTATGTTTATTCAGAACCTTAAAATGTGACTTTGTTTAGAAATATAATGTTTAAAGATATAATCACTTGAGTTAAGGTCATACTGGATTAGGATTAGTGTGACCTAAATACAATATGACTAATGTTCTTGTAAAAAGAAAGGAGGAAACAAATAGCCACACAGAGAGAATACCATATGACTATAAAGAGAGAGATTGTAGTGATGTGACTACAAGCCAAGGAAAATCAAAGATTGCTGCCAACCAACAGAAATTAAAACAAGGCAAGGAAGTTTCTTCCACTACAGCCATTACAGAGAGCATAGTTATGTTGAAAACATGATTTGGAACTTCTGGTCTCTAAAACTGTGAGGGATTACATTTCTGTTGTTTGGAGACACGGCATCTCATTGCGCTAATTTGCTACCGCAGGCCTAGTAAACTAAAATCTCCAACTAATATCATGCACAATATTAATATAAGATGGGTTTCAGACATAAACATAAAAGTTGGAAACATAAAGTATCTAGAAGAATCTATAACAATATCCCCATTACCATGGATTAAAGAAAGATTTCTCAGAAAACACATGTACAGCATTAATTACGTTATTTAGAAAAATAAGTTGGACTTTATCTTCTTTTTAAAATTTGTGTTCAGCTAAAACTGCTCCGATGATTTTATTTGTTAACTTGACTGGATAATGGAGTGCCCAAATATTTGGTTAAATATTCTGGGCATATTAGTGAGGGTGTTTCAGGATGAGAATAACATTTGAATTGGTATGCTGAGTGAAACAGATTTCCCTCCCCAATGTGGGTAGGTCTCATCCAATCCTTTCAAGGCCTGAATAGAACAAGAGTGAGCAAGAGTAAATTTGTTTGCTCTACCTGAAAATCTTCCAGTTGGGACATTAGTCTTTTCTTGTCGTCAGACTTGGAACAACACTTACACCATTTGGCTTTCTTAAATCTCAGGCCTTCAAACAGAGACCAAAACTGACTTTATTGGCTCTTCTGGTTCTCAGGCTTTCAGACTGAAGATCTTGGAACTTTTCATTTATCGTAACTGTGTAAGCAAATTCTTCATTATAAATCTTTTCATCTATTCTTATATATAATAATTTTTTTCATATATATTCTATAGGTTGTGTTTCTCTAGAGAACCTTGACTAATATGGGGACCTTTAAAAAATACCAGGACAAGTCACAGAATGGGAGAAAATATCTGTAAGCACATATTAGACAAGTGTTTTAGCTAGTATATATAAAGTATGCATACAACTCAATAATTAAGAAAAAATGCAATAAAAGATAGATAAAAACTTCAATATATATCCTACACAAAGTATGTTAATGGTCAATAAAAACATAAAAATGTTCAACACATTAGTTATAAGGGGAATTAAAAATAAATTATAATGAGATATCACTATACAATTATTAAAATAGCTGAAATTTAAATGTTTCACATGTCTCAAATGTTTGTGAGGATGTGGAACAACTAGAATTATCATGAATTGTTACTAGGAGTATAAAATGGTAAAACTACTTTGTAAAACTATTTATTAGGAAATTAAGCAGTCACGTACCACATAATCCAGCAATTTCACTTTTAGATATTTACTTGGGAGTAATGAAAACGTAGTCCCAAAAAACTTTGAATAAGAATGTTCAAAATAATCCCTCCCATTCAGCCTCCAAAATGCTGGATTACAGCTGTGAGCTCCCTTGCCTAGCCTTCAGCATAAATTTGATGTTTGTTCTTCCTTCAGTTTTAGCAGAATTTGTGTTGCTCTGATAGGAGCTCTTTTCAAGCTGATGTTTATTCTTCCTAGTGACTCACACTAGATAATTGATCAGATATGTTATAACAAGTTAATATAAGTTTATTTTGGTGCAAAGAAAATTGAAATCCATGCATAGCTTTTTCATAATGTACATTTTCCATGAACTATTTGAAGCTCATGAGCTTTGTGTGAATGTGTGCGTGTATGTGTTGCAGCTTTTTAAAACTCTACACAATAAAACACCTGGAATTGTTTTTAAGTATATACCTGGAAGCATCTGATTTACTTTCTCAAATGAATATTAAGATGTATCAAGAAGTTGTTTTAAATGGTGCAAGCTTCCAAATTTAAATACTAAGTAAACATGAGTCTGCTTTTTTTTTTTTTTTGCTTCCAATAAACACTTTATTGACAGAATTAATGAAGGCCCAAGACTTTAGGGCCGGTGGGGGCAGGGGGTTGGTGGTTTGGGGCAGAGGGGTGGTGGTTTTGGGGCGGGGGAGAGGTTTGGGGCTGGGGGTTTTGTGGCCAGGTGGGTGGATGAGCAGACGTGCCGGGTCCCAGGAGTCTGGCGTTGTCAGCAGCTAGTTCGGGCCGGGAGCCACTTGAGAGATGGTTGTTGTATGAAAGAGGGTGCTCAGCAGCCCGTTATTATGAACCGCCATGTCCAACAGCCGCGGAGTGATGATCCTCTCGCCGTTGTTTTGGGCCTCCTTGACCGCCAGCTCCAGGATCTTGGTCGTCAGATACTCAATCACCGCAGCGAGGTAGACTGGCGCGTTGTGACTCAGGCACTGGGCGTAGTGGCTTTCCCGTAGACTGCGCTCCATGTGGCCAACCGAAAATAGAAGTTCCGCTCGGGCGGTGCGAGAGCGGGTATGCCCCCGGCGGCGGGCACCAGAGGACCCTCTGTGGCTCCTCCTCTCCGACATGCTGGCTATTGGGTGCCCTATCTCAGCTCGGCTTGTTCTAGCACAAGGTGCCTCTCAAGATGACCGTTACGGAGTCCGGTACTGTGTATCCTAGCGACCAGGGCCAAGCCTCTCATTGGCTGGGGAGCCGAGTCCAATGGGCACGCACATCCTCGTGCCACCACATCATCACGTGGTAACGGCCTAGCGCGCACGTGATGACAGCCTCACCAGGGACACGCCCATCAGGTGACCTCATCGATTTCCCATTGGCCCCCAGGAAGCAGGCCTGGGCCCAGAAGTGGCTGGAGGGCCGTGGGGGTAGAGGTCGAGGGGAGCGGGGCATGGGAAATCCTGCTGATGACCCTCTCTTTGCCAGTGGGAACTCTCCCTTACTACTGGATGAGAACACTGTGGGAGCACTATGGGCTAGCAGGGGGAAGGTTGATCGGTACTGCTCGTTCACAATGTTGCACATCCATCACAATCACCTAGTTCCAAAACATTTTCAACACCCAGAAAAGAAACCGAAACCCTTGTACCTATAAGCAGTCACTTCCCACACTCCTCCTTCCACAGCACGGCTACCACCCCCGCACCCCCACCCCCACCGCACCACATACACAAGTCCTCAATAGTCCCTCAACCACTAATCAATCTGCTTTCTGTCCATAGACATTTGCCTGTTTTGGAGATTTCCTGTAGATGGAATCATACAACCAAATGTGAGGCCTTGTGTGTCTGGCTGCTTTCACTTAGCATAATGTTTTCATCAGGGTTCATCCATGTAGAAGCATGAATCAGTACTTCCTTCCTTTGAATGACTGAATATTATTGCGTTGTATAAATAGGCCACATTTTGTTTATCCACACATCAGTTGATGGACAAGTTATTTCCGCCTCTGGCTATTGTGAATAGCACTGCCATGAGCATCTCTCTACAACCTTTTGGTTGAATATCTGTTTTCAGTTCTTTTGGGCCTATTTCTAGGAGTCAAACTGCTGGCTCATATGGTAATTCTGTTTAACTTATTGAGAAACCACCACACTGATTTCCACAGCAGCTGTAATTTTTCGCATCCAACAGTAGTGCATGAGAGTCCCAGTTTCTTCACATCCTCATCAAAACTTTTTTCTGTTTGTCTCATTTTTAAACATGGGTCTGTTTTTGGACCCTATTTTTTTTTTTTTTTTTTGAGATGAAGTTTTGCTCTTCTTGTCACCCAGGCTGGAGTGCAATGGCGCAATCTCGGCTTACTGCAACCTCTGCCTCCTGGATTCAAGTAATTCTTCTGCCTCAGCCTCCCAGTAGCTGGTGGACCCTATTGTTTAGTTTGATGACATTCTCTTTTTCTATGTCACATTTTAACATACATATATAGATTTCTTTTCTTCTAGTAGGATTTGGTATCTGTTGAGATAAAGTCCCGTATCATTTTTTCACTTCACCAAAAATGTTTTTGCTTATTCTTCTAGAAGAAATCATAAAGAATTTTTAATAATTTTAGAGCTTTTAAATTCACCCTTTATGTTCATTCTTGATTTAGAAAGATGTCAGCTGAGATAAAAAAGATAGTCAAAACAGCTTTTTAAATAATTCAGCAACTTAAATCATTACTATTCTGATGTAATGGTTAACAATTTATTTTTTATAAGAAGTATATAGTAGGGACAGCAGTACACTCTTTGAGTCTTTTTATGGAACATTTGAAAAATTTTGATACCATAGGTATGCATCAGACCTCACTCCCCACACTTCAATACTAGCAAAGTGTTATTTTTTAGAACATGTTTATGCAGCACATTATGCCTTAGAATGGTTATTGTAAAAGAAACATAAACTTAGGTTAACAGGAAAGATAAATTTAGTAGCAATCACAGTTAACTGCCTGCCAAAAAAAAAAAAAAAAGATGACAGTGGAGGAAGTGGTAGGCACATGACCTAGCCTAGCAAGTATTTTACATTTCTCTTCTATAAACTTTGGATGAGATTAGGTGACTTGAAGTGTTGCTGTAAACCCAAATGATTATAGAATTAAAAAAAAAAATCTCTCACAGATGTTCAAAGACTAAAATGAGCACATAAACAAAATTTAAAGCAGAAGCAGCAATCATTCAAAATAAATTTCTCTGAATGAAAATGTAAAGAAGAGAGAATACAAAAAGACTATCAAAGGTAGTTCCATAAAAGCACCCAAAGGAGACATTTACTGACTGCTAAAGTAAGAACACAACTCGTATGAATTTCCGACTAATTAATCCACCACTGTATAATCTCCTCCTTTTGGCAAAATAATTAGTCCATTAGATTTTAAGTTCTAAGTGAAACTGAGTAATTTCTAAAGCTATGACTCTTATACATTGGTACTATATCTACCTAGTAGTAAAGTTTAATGTATTTACTACTGTTTCACATATATCCTGGACCTTTCCCAAACTTTTTTTAAAAGAATTGTGGTAATGTAAGAAAACTAAGTATATAGATAAACTACCAGGACTTAAGCAAACCAAAAAAAGTGGGCATTAATGATCCATATCAGTTCTATTTTACTGGAACTCTCCTACGTTATTTTAGATCATCAGTGACTTTGTACCAAAACCAGAAGTAAACCAAACAGATAAAAAACACACTAAAATATTAAATAAAGTAAAAAGAGACATATTGCTTTATGACTTCTTGGTAATGAGCTGACTATTTCCTGATACTTTAGTGTTCCCCAAAATATTAACTTATTTTCCAAGAAAATAAGAGAAGAATTCCATGTCATGTATTACGGCTGTCCGCAAAATACTCAGAAACACCCTAAATGCCTTAAGTAGTCCTGTGCAAAAGAACTGTTTAACTCTATCATGATATGTTTCTCTTTTTCTGGGAAACACATATTGCTAGCCCACAGAACAAAGCTTAGGAAATTTTGCCATACAGTCATTTATTATCTATATGGAAAGAAGCATTATTTTTCTCTCTCAAAAGGAAAGAGTTAAATCACTAATCTGGAAAAATTAAAATGAATAAAAAACATGAGGTATTTATCAACATATACTAGGAAAATATACTATGGTTAATTGGAAAAGTCATTTGAACACCTTGATTTATTCTAAAACTAAGTTGAAATTATAATTTAAAAAGTAAAGGGTTATATATTTTAAAAGTGTATATCAATCCAAATGGTATTAAATTGAACTGTAATCTGCCTGCCCAATGCAATAAGATCAGATATCTATACTGAGGTTACCTCCAAGCCATTGGGGAGGCTGGGACTTAAGCACTAGCTGCCTGATCCTCCTATGCAGGACACAAAGCAAGGAGAATCAGGCAGAGCTAATGCTTAAGTCCCAACCTCTCTGATTTCTAGCAAGTAAGAGTTTTTAAAGGCAGAATTAAATTTCATGAAAGCAGAAGATATAGGCAAAATTGTAAACTATACATAGAGGTTACATATTGCTTTTCGCTTAACAGGGCAGAATATCTAGAAGCAGAGGCTCACAGGGGTCATAGGTGGATTCAAAGATTTTCTGATTTGCAGTTGGTTAAGGAAGAAAAACTGTTTAAGGATTTGGGGTCTAGAGAAAACAATGTTAGCTTTGGCTCCTGGGTGTGACTCCCTCCAGACCCCACAAGAAGAAATTAAGAACAATGAATGGCGGTCAGAATTCAGTCTTCAGGTTCCCCTTATCTCAGGTCTATGTGCTAGTGGATTGATTTGGTGTTGCTCTGGGTTTTTTTTAAAACAACACAGAGACATATTTTAAGATGTTATCTTTAATTTCTGTAGGTGATTCAAACATATTGTGATGCTGTTACAGTAGGTAGTTAGACATGAGCAGGGCAGGAGAGCTGCTGTCCCTCACCAAGAATGACAGGCAACCATCAGGTGATGGTCAGGTGGTTGTTAAACTGTCTCTCTAGAGTAATAATTGGCCACAGCCAGAGCCAGGGAAAGACAATCTCCTAGTAGATAGAAAACAGTTGAAACTGGTGATCAGCAGCTTCCCAATAAGATTTCAAAAGTTGGGTGAGGGGGCTCAAGCATGTGCCCTAAGAGGCAAAATGGCAGACTTTTACTGGTATATGACCTGCTTTTAGGAATGCTCAGCTGGTAAGAGAGTTACCTCAAGTGAGCTTGTGCACAACTTCAATAAACTCAATGTGCATGTGGCTCCTCCCAAGTGTTGGTAGGACACTGTGCATGCAGACAACCTGTCCAAGGAAACATCAGGGGAGAAGAAACACAAACCTTGAAAACATGGCAGCCAGTGTATAAAGCCCCAAGCCAAAGGTCAAACAGCACATTTGAATCTTTCAAGTACCTGCTTGGCTATCTTCCAAGTGTACTTTACTTCCTTTCATTCCTTCTCTAAAACTTTTTAACAAACTTGCATTCCTGCTCTAAAACTTGCCTTGATCTCTCACTGTATCTTATGACCCTTGGTTAAATTATTTCTTCTGAGGAAAGAATTGATGTTGATGCAGGCTCATATAGATTCACCCCTGCTAAAAATGCTAGATTCCTTGGCTATTGTTTGAAACTACTAATGCTTTCTTATTTATCAAGTTGCTTATTTACTTTTCAGGGCTAGCTAGGTGCCTGAAATTTCCCCTGAAGGAAATTAAGATTTTTCCTTTATTTCTACGCTTGGGGGTTGTGGGGGAACCTGCAGCCCCCTAACAAGACATCCCTGCTATGTCTGAAAAATAAGTAGAAAAAAACATCGAAGAGATGGGATCTTATTATCTTGTATAGCTAAAATTATCCTTCAAGAAAGATACTGTGCTTGACCTCAAGGAAGTGAAATGGAATGAGTATTATGTCTACACAATAAGATTATTAGCTGAATTTAAAAAGGAGTTTAAAAGTTCAGAATTATCACTTAAACGAGCCTCTTGAAATTCAGAAATTTACTAAGGTTATTTTGGGTCAATTAGAGCAAGTTCATCAAGCGCTCCTTAAAGTATTTCTATGATTTTATGCATCAGATTCACCTCAGGAATCTTTACTCCTGTCTCTGTGGAAAAGGAATAATTCCAAGTAATTGAGAAATATAAATACAAAAGTCAGATGGAATATCAAAGTATTAAATAAACAATGACTAATAAAGCTGGTTTTGAGGATAAAGTTGAGACTGGAATTAAGCCTTGCATCAGAGTTAAATTTATCTGTATAGCTACTAGGAGCTACAGTGTTTATCACACACATGAGAATCTCAGATCACAAGGGCAGGCTACTCCAAATCAGAAAGACAAGTAAATTTTAGTACAGGCAAGCATATGTGGATTTTTTTTTCAATCTCACCAATAACATAAATCACGCCTTTTTTTGTTGAGAAAATCTAAATTAGGAGATTGAAAGGAAGGATAGATGATGCCTTGTAATACTCATTTTTCTGGACATGGACACTACCCCATGGAAACATGAAGAAGGGGAAACTAACAATAGGTGGAATCCAGGTTCTGCCAATTAACATTAATGTCTGAAATCTAGACACAGTGACTGAGGGCTTTACTACTTAAAGTGTAATCAAGAGACCAGCAGCATTAGCATCATATGGAAAGTTGTTTGAAATTCAGACTATCAGTCTTTACCCAGGACCTTTTGAATCTGTAACTGCCTGAAGGGTTCTTCCTGCCCACTGCATTAAAAAAAATTACCATGGCATTGTAGTAGAGAAATAGTTTAATAGACACAAGGCCAGCCACACCATGTGGGAGATGGAGCTCTTACTTAAATCGTGTCATCAAAAGCTCATAGATTAGAAGTTTTTCAAAAATGGTTTGGAGG